CAGCCCCGCTCCTCCCGGGCTTCGAACGCCCTCATCTCCAGGGCTTTGAGCACCACCGATGAGTTGGTGTTCTTCAGCAGGGCGACGGCCTCGCTCCGGCTGACCCCCGTCAGGTCGATCCCGTTTACGTTCAGGAGGACGTCACCTGGGAGAGATCAAACAGATGACGAAAAACCCTGGAAGTCTTTCCAGCATCCCCTCCCTACACCCACAAAGAAGCGACTCGAAGCCATGTCTGAGAACTTGCTGCCCGATGAGGCTGTTTGTTCATCCTATCTCTTAACACGGATGGGAAGCACATGCTGGTAAACACGCCGCAGGCATGAGGGAAGGGGTTATATCCCCGTACGCAGGCGTGTCACTGGGCTGGGTGGAGGCTTTGAACCTGTTTTTTTATAATCATAGAGTCACTAAGGCTGGAAAAGACCTCTGAGATCATCAAGTCCAACCATCACCACCATGCCTGCTAAACTACAGAATCACAGAATCATAGAATGGTTTGGGCTGGAAGGGACCTTAAAGATCATCTGGTTCCAACCCCCCTGCCATCAGCAGGGACATCTTCCACCAGACCAGGGTGCTCAGAGCTCCATCCAGCCTGACCTTGAACACTGCCAAGGAGGGGGCAGCCACAGCTTCTCTGGGCAGCCTGGGCCAGTGTTTCACCACCCTCATGGGGAAGAATTTCTTCCTAATATCTGATCTAAATCTGCCCTCTTTTAGTTTAGAGCCGTTCCCCCTTGTCCTATCACTCCACACCCTTGTGAAAAGCCCCTCTCCATCCTTCCTGTCGGCCCCTTCAGGCACTGGCAGCTGCTCTAAGGTCCCCCGGGAGCCTTCTCTTGAAGAAATTTTTCCTAATATCCAATCTAAACCTCCCCTTGCACAACTTGAGGCCATTGGCTCTCGTACATAGAGTTAGGAAGCTGGTGTTTCTAGATGTGGTATTGAGCCACGCAGCACTAACATTGCATCATATATGGTGGGAATTCTGCTTCTTTATATTTCTCGCAAAGCCATGAACGATATGACAAACAAGCAGAAAAATTTGCATAAAAAACCCATGAAGGTTGCACAATGAAGATTTCGGTAGTTAGGAGATGCTGGTGCAAGCCCATTCTCCTGTGAAAAAACATTTGGCTTTTTTTTTCCCTCCCTACATCCCACTCCACAGAGATAGTTACTGCTGCATCTTCTACCTTTTCTGGCAGCTGACTTGAGAGCCTCTAATCTGATGCATCCCAAAATCTATCGGATGGCTGAAGAAGTCAGGGTGTGATGCTCTTTCTCTGTCCCTCTGGTTTTCAAAGGAAACCTTTGAATTAGAGCAGGCTTTCAAGATCCCCTCTTTTTACCTGTTTTTATCCTGCTGTCTCTGCTGATAACTCCTCCAGGTTCAACACTTATCACGTAGATAGGTAAATCCCATTCCCGGTTGGATGCTCCACCAGCTACAGTCATTCCCAGCGACTCCGTGTGATCTTTCCGGACAGCCACCACCTTCTCGTGACAGGTGACAGCATGAAGGGCGCTCTGTGATGGAGAAAACAGCAAAAACGAACTCGGTGGGCACAGGGACCTCCCCGACAGCTTCGGCATTTTCTACCGAAATGAATATTCATGAAGGGAATCGCAAGTGCTTCACAGCCACCTGCGAGGCCTGGCCAGGTGGCAGGCACGACTCTCTCCAGGGCTGAGGTATCTGCAAAGTCAGAGCTACCACCAAGATAAGCCGTGCTTTAACAGTTCAAGTCAGGCCCTGCTCCTGCCAAAATCAAAAGTGTTTGAGTGTCGAGACCAATGGAAGCAGGTCTTTGAAATGTAAATAAAGAATCTGATTTTTTTTTTTTAATGTTCTTGATATTAATATCACTAGTGGTCCTCATATCTTTGACTATCAGGTCACGGTTCTTATCCTGCTCCTTGCAGTCTGAATGTCATCTGCGTAGTTAATGAGAAATAGTCCGCCTGGGTTAAAAGAATAAAACTCTTGGGGACAGATTAAAAGACAGACACTTCATTTGCTCTTCCAGATTTCTGCCTTTCTGTATAAGTTGCTGGTGGGAATACATGTGAAAAATACGTATTTCTGTAGAGGCAAAGAGAAGGACACTTATAGAGAAGAGCCAGCAGCTTCCAGGGTGCTCTTCCTAGTGCTTGTGCTTAAAAGATCGCTTTGGGACATCCACCTCGACTGTCTGAGGATGGCCATCCCCTTCTTCCTCCCCCCAAAGAGGAAAAATTACATACACACCGCTGCTCATGAGATAACCAGCACCTGAGAGAGGGTGAAACAACCTCATGGGTGGCTTTGGGATGCAGAGGCAACGCCAGCTCCAACAAAACCTGGGGAAGACTGTCGCGTTTACAACACATCCAGCTCTTACAGAAGAGTTCAAGAGACAGGGATCCTTCATCAGAAAATCTGGATTTAAATGTTAATTGCTTTGGTTTTCTTGACTATGTCACAAGCTGTGCTCCTGGCATCAGCTCCTGAAGATCCCAGCCCCTCTTGCAGGAACAGCATCTTCCATTCCAGGCTCATATGCAAATATAATAGCATGCTGCTAAATATGTTTGAAATACATACATATATATATATATATATATATAAAAAACACCCCACAAACCCAGCCTTCTCATTCACAAGTGTGACCTCACGTTTATAATATGCAAAAATAATCTATAAAACTCATTTAAACCCACACTAATCTCTTCTTAGAAGATCCCATAAAGGCATTCTACTGTGATTCCTGGGCCAGCAGCACAGAGAGTGGAGGAGGTGAGTCCATGGATGATGATGGACAAAGGAAGACAGTGGCAAGAAGCTTTTGTGGCAGTAGGGCAGGCTAGATCTTTGGTGTGTGTTTGGTGGAACTAACTCCACATCAGGATTTCTGCAATGCAACGTCGACAACAAACCCCAGAACCTTTTAGCAGCTTAGCAAAGGATCTGTAGATGCTTGAGCAGAAGGACAGTGGCTGCCACACATCTCCAGGAACAAAAAGGCAAAGAGCTCAGTGGCAAAGGCACTGTGCCCAGTTCTGGGGTACCCAGTTCAAGGAAGATGAGGAGCTGCTGGAGAGAGTCCAGCGGAGGGCTACGAGGATGAGGAGGGGACTGGAGCATCTCTCCTATGAGGAAAGGCTGAGGGAGCTGGGCTTGTTGAGCCTGAAGAAGAAAAGGCTGAGAGGAAGGCAGTGATGAAAGGAAAGTGAAGCCTTTCCTAGTAAACACACGTAGAGCTTTCCTGGAGGTGCAGCTGATAAGGAGTAAACCAGTTAAAAGGCAATGTTTATCAGGGACCGCATTTCAGTGCGTTCTCTTCTAAACAATTGTCCCGCTCGGTCATTTTGAGGTGACCTCTGAGGTCAGGATAAGAAAGAGCAGAACAATTCATCTCCTCCTCTTCTTAATTTTTGTTTTTTTTTTTCCTTTTTGTGCATGTTTACTGGAAAAGAAATATTTACAGCAGACAATCACAAATCAAAGCCATGACACGTGTCTTGCAGGCGAAAGACGTAGCTGTGCCTGCTTGGAAAATGTCTTCACCCGAGGGAGAACTGCTGGTATGGTCAGAAAAAGTTGCCTGCTCGAGCAGCAGGGTGACAGATTTCGCTGAAGTACTAGAGAATTTGTTAGAAAGGAGTAAGAAAACAGTTCTAATTAAAAACAAGCGGTATTTAATCAATGGCAAAGCTCCCACTGACTTCAAAGAGGTCAAATCTGGCCCGTTTATGTGTTACAGCCCGGCTTAACAACCTCAGCTGCAAAAGAAAGTGTTTCTGACATCTTCTCTTTTCTGAATCCAGAACAGTTTGGGCTGTGCCTCCCCTAATTTGTACGCAGGAAAACAGCTCGGTGGGAGCCCGTGTGGGACCGATCGCCCGGCACACCACACACCCGGCATCACCGCCGCTGGAGAAAGACGTGGTCACTACGGATCGTCCTCCTCTTCCTCCAGTGCCTTGCTGGCTCCATTGGCACCAGCCCGAAAGACAGCCACCTCCTTGCACCTTCCAGATGGAGACGGGACGCCATGAGGGCAACAGCTTGGCCAACACGGTTCCTGAGCCGTCTCACGATCGAGACAGATGCTGGGAGCCAGACTTTTTTCTTGGTGCTGAATACAGCCAGGGCTTGAGAGCAGATTTCAGCCCACGTTTGCATACATGCTGCACAGCAAGAGCTGCGTGCCTTAAAGAGAGCATTCCTGACCTGCTAATATCGTCTCCTACAGTAAGCCCAGGAGGGTGAAAAAATCACCTTAAAATTAATAGGAATTCAAGGCAGTTTGCAGTCTCTGCAAAGATGAGGAGGGGACTGGAGCATCTCTCCTATGAGGAAAGGCTGAGGGAGCTGGGCTTGTTCAGCCTAGAGAAGAGAAGGCTGAGAGGGGACCTTAGAAATGCCTACAAATATCTGCAGGGTGGGTGTCAGGAGGACGGGGCCAGACTCTTTCCAGTGGTGCCCAGCGACAGGACAAGGGGCAACGGGCACAAACTGAAGCAGAGGAAGTTCCAGCTGAACATGAGGAAGAACTTCTTCCCTCTGAGGGTGACGGAGCCCTGGCCCAGGCTGCCCAGGGAGGCTGTGGAGTCTCCTTCTCTGGAGATATTCCAGCCCCGCCTGGACGCGGTGCTGTGCAGCCTGCTGTGGGTGACCCTGCTTGGGCAGGGGGTTGGGCTGGCTGATCCCCCGACGTACCTTCCAACCCCTGCCATTCTGTGATTCTTAGACAAGCGGGTAGCAAGCTCATCCAAAATCTCACTCGTAGAAACTCCCTTGACACTGAAGTCCGGCCAGCGAGCATTGCTTTGCTTCCAAGCAGGAGCACGCGCTGCGTTGGGACACTGTACAAGCCCTAGGCTTTCAAGCATTACTCCTGCACTAATGTCTATTGAAAAAAAAAAAGAAAAAAAAAAGCATTTTAAGTCTGCCAAAGCCTAGAATTTAAAGATTTTGAATTGCAAATGATATTCAGTTAAACCTTCAGCAAAAAAGCAAGAGAAATTCAAACTGACACACTCTTACCCTACAAAAGGGCAAATAACTCTCCAGTAACTATTCTACCAGACCAAAAGCCTTCCGTGCCTGAAGCTCATGCTGTCCACCAGCTGTACTGATCTACTGATCTGTTGCCAGAGCCTTTTCTTTGATACGGGCCCTCCACTGCACACGCACACAAAGCTAAAGAGAACGAGGAACAGCTCAGAGTTTTCATATTTTGGCTGGGATCTTCACTTGAAGGGTCCCAAGGGTGGCACTGGGCAGAAGCCCGCAGCCGCATGCCCACTCATGTACTTATGTAGTACCCATCTCTCGTGGCAAAGTGGAAATTCCCTGAAAGGCCATGGCTTATCCAGCAAAAGGGGGTTCATTCAGCCTTAATGGACTGTTGCGAGGTCCACATTGGTCTTCCAATCTCACAGCTACCCCAGGTAACGTGGGATTTACCAAGAGCTTCCATCTAACACCTCCTCATGCAAGAAGAGAAAATGGGGACCTTGTTGGAAAACAAGTCACATTCCCAAATAATCCCATGTGGTGTCAATTAATCAGATCAATGTGGCAGAGCTAGCAGGTGCTCAGAGCATCACTAGAAATCATACTGTAGCAACATGAGCTAATTACTGTCCTACACCTATCTCCCCAAGGAAATCATTACTTCATTAGGCACTAATGCCTTGAAGATGCGTGATTGGTTGGGCACTGTTTGCTACTGGGTAGCAGCTACAGGAGCACTGAGC